CGGATCAGGTGCCCAGCCCCAGAGTTGAGCAGGAGCTGGGCTGCCCTCCCCCACCCAGACCCCAGTGGCAGCGCCCCGTAGTCAGCCCTGCAGGACGGGGACCTGGCCCAGGCGCCACCTGGTTCCAGGGCTGGCCCCCGAGGATTCCACTGGGAGCACATCCCCAGAAGGGTACCCTGAGCTGCACCTGGGCCAGCTGCAGGCAGGGCCTGGACCACGGCCCCCCCTGCTGAAAGTGACCCATCACCTGAACAACTTTTGTGCTCCCCACAGACACCATCCTCCCAAAGTGCTGCTTCTCCTGTCTGCCAGGAGACATTCTCCTCCCTGACTGCCCACCCAGTCCTGTCACCCCTGTTCCCCCTCTCTCTGCCCTGTGCCCCCTTGTGGGACCCTGGCTCAGACCTTGCAGCATAAGGCCTGCCCACTTTTCCTGGCCTGGCTGGTCGGGGGACTGCGCTGCCACCAACTCCTAGAGCCTCCAGCTGCTTCACTCTCCCTCACTGGCCCTTCCTGTGCCAAGCTCCTCCCCCTGGAGCTGGGCAGCCAGGCATTCTGGGTCCCTCTTGGGAACCCTGCTGGCTTTGCCCTGAGACTTGGGTTGCTCCCTGCCCTGGAGATCTTCCCTTCCTCCTATGGATGGGGTGGGCTGCAAACCCCAGTTTCTCCTTGGGGCATACACCCCCTTTGGGGTGATGCTGCCTATGGGCTGGGGACTCCCTGTGGGTGGGGCTGCAGGGTGGCTGCCTGGCTCCAGGGTACATCTAGCAAGGCTGGGGCCCTTGGGGGGCCTTGGGTCTCAGGGTGCTCTCCAGGGCAGTGACAAGCTGCACAAGGCGGGGGATGGTGTCCTGGCTTAGGCCAAGGCCTCATTCTGTGCCCTGTGGAGGTGCCGAGGCCAGAACTGAGGCATCTGTCTTGGGATCCCCTTCCTGGGCCCTCATTTGGAAGCTTGTATTGCTCTGGGCTCGCAGGGCTGCCCCCACCTGCTCTCAGATCCTCAGGGGCTGCTGCTCACTTCAGCAGGGTCCCCTGGTCCCACCCCATTTCCCGAGGACAGTACCCTGTGGCCAAGGGCCAGCTGCAACACCAGGCCCCAGCCGTCCACCCAGAGGGACCCGGGCCCGGCCCCCAGCCCCCGGCCCACACAGAGACCACATGGAAGATGCAACACGCATGGCTCTGGTGAGACAGGTGAGACAGGTGTCTGGGGGGCAGGGCCAGTGGCCAGACAGATGGACGGGATGCAGCAGCACAGCCACCCTCGGGGCCGTCACAAGGCAGGAGTGAGGGCGGCAGCCCCTCCAGGAGAGGTGAGAGAAACAAGGCCATCACAGCAGTGGTGTGGCCTCCTGACGTGGGGCAACTGGGACAAGGGCTGCTCTTGGCTCCTGGGGCCCAGGTGGAGCCCAGGGCGATGGCAAGGCTGGCTGACTGACCAACAACATGAGACGGCTTCAAGATGGTGTGTGGGTCATGGTATGGGGGGTAGGGGAGGGCAGACTAACGTGGAGACACATGGGGTAGGGGGCTGAGGACCAGCAAGGGCCAGGGAGAGG